AGCTTGGCAACTTTAAGATGTGTGGACTTCAACTCCCAGAATTCCCCAGCCAGCATGCTGGTTGGGGAATTCTGAGAGTTGAAGTCCACACATCTTAAACTTGCCAAGTTTGAAAAACATTGATTTAAATACATGGTGCTTCAGCTTAGTTTGAAATGTGAATCCAAACAGTGATTTATAAACCACAATTCATGATAAAGGGTACACATTGTGACGTTGGCCACCAATGTGCATGCTGATGTCACCTTTGGTGCCCCATCAAGTTCTCTGTCCTATTCCTATCTTTAAAAGAAAAAGTAAATAAAAACATTACATTAGAAGCTGGCAAAGCAAAGTACCAGCCTATAGCCTATTTATAAAAATACTTTCAAACCTACAAAGATTCCTTTGTGATGATAGAGAAGACCTTGGAGGCTAGTTGTCAAGGGGCATTTGGGACTGACTGTGGCAGCCATCTTGTGAATAACCAAGTTTCCAACAGCAACTGTATTGTGAATATGCCCCCCCCCCCCCGTGCTTTCAAAACGCTAAATGTATCTGTGGTTCAAGAAGGTTGCTGCCTGGCCCATCATATTATGTGAATCCAGCCATTTGGGACTTGTCAACAAACCAGAGTTTGCAAAGCATGGCTTAGCACAATGAGCAAAAGAAGAGGAACTTGGAGAAGATTGACTGAATGGGTCCATTAAGTTTGGTGGAATTTACATCTGAGAAAATACGTACAAGTTGTATTACTTCCTAGCAAGAATGTATTGGTGTAAAAGTTGAGGTCAACTTTGTCAATTTCATGAACACATCTGTGCAATTTCTTTGCAACAGTATAGAAGTGGTCTGACTTTGCTTTCTTCCAGAATATCTTTTAGACTTCCCAGTGTAACCTACGACCCTGTTTTTCTCTGATAGTTCCCACCCAAATATTAACCTGAGCCAACCCTGCTTAGCTTCTAACAAGGTCAGCCTGATGCTGCCATCTCATGAACTACAAACCTGATTAAACTCTTTTTAAGTATGTTTAAGATAACAGCAGTGAATGTGAATGATCAAAAGATTATGAAAATATTTTCTAAAACAGATCTGAAGAGATTTGAAACTATGTTTCAAACCAATTCCAATTTACTTCTAGTGAAATACTCTTCAAAACCATCAGACTTCACTGAAAACCTTTTCATATACTTGCAGTCTCCTTGAAGAGGCAGTTCTGTTCTTAGAGATCAGGATTGCTTCTGCAGCAAGAGCTTTTCATGGTGCTGACATGTGCGCCCTTTTCCTACAAGATGGCCTTCTGGGAAGGGGTGAAGACCTGGCTCTGCCAGCTTGCATGGGGGTCAAGGAGGAGTAACCAACCCTGGGAATGGTTAGCACCCTGAAGATGCTCCTGGAGGTCAATAATTTATTTATACCATCTATCCCTTGGATTATATTATTTATTTTTGATCACTGTTATTGTATTTTAATTGGTTTTTATTCTTATTTATTGTAGAGTCTCTTGTTGAATGAGATGGGCGATGACTAAATTTGAAATATAAATAAATAAATATTATCCTGGCCATCAACTTTCCTCAGACTGATGCCAGGCAGATGTTTTGGGTTAACCCAACATTCCTAAATAGCCCCAAGTTGGAGAAGACTGGTGTACCATTCAAACTGGCCATGTTCACTGTGACCAGATTTTTCTTTTGCCCTAAATATTATTTACAGTATTATAGTTACATCTAATCCTATGCAGATTTACCTAACTTGATGAGACTTGATAGGAATCCTGAATACACAAACAGGCTCTGTTCAGCTTGTGGGCTCACATTGAGCTAGAGACTAGCCAACCTTATTTTGCCTAATGTGTTGTGCAAACCCAACCCATATGGTTAGTTTATGGTTCAATGTGACATGCAAACCCAGAGAAGTAGTTTTGTAATTTCTTATTATGTAAGCAGTAGGTAAATGGGTCCTGTAACCACAGCTGTTCAATTTTTCTGGAAGTTTTAGAATGCTGGGATACTTGGCACCTTGCAATAATGTTTTCTTTCTCCCTACCACAGTAGATAACTTAGCTAAATGCATTATAAGAGTAATTACTATTAATATTTTAGCCTTTAAGGTGCCCTATAACTCTTAGATCAGTTAAATAAGATCAGGAATAGTCTATAGTAATCCACTGCTGGGAGGGGGGCAGGGGTCTACCCTCTTTAAGTACAACTGAATTAACATTTTGGTACTGTTCCTATGTAAACCCCTGCTGTGTTCTGGCCTCATGCAGATAAAATGCTTCCTCAGCATTCCCAAAGTACTGCCCAGAGAATTAACACTATACTCACTGAAATGCCAAACTTCCTTTTTGAGAAAGCCAAGTCCCACCAATGGCAAAGGAATAAAACAAAACAGCGAACTGAAGCCAAGCACTAACCACAGCCTACAAAAACTGCCAACTTTGCAACTATCTTCTGTAGCTACAGTATGTCTTTGAGAGCAGCCAACTACCTATGCGTGCAACCAGCGCATAAGGAAACTATAAACATATATGGGTCTGATTAAAGAAAAGACAAAAATTGCTGTTCTAAAATAATTTCCTGGGGGCACAACCCACTGTAGGCCTCACATATGAGAAAACTACATATGTGAAGTTGGCAAAAGCAATTTCTCTGCTAGTAATTCCACCATTGTATACGTAAGACCAATTTTGCTCACCTGCTGTTAGAGAATTTAAAGATGGTGTCAGTTGGGTTAACTCTAAAAAGGAGATTATTAAGTAAGTTCTGGAAAATATAAAGGTAAATTCATGCCAGTTAGGAGAAGCCTTGAAACCTAAAGGTCAGTGGTGAAAACTATTACTTCTTGTAATGATGGGGTTGTACAGGAATTGCTTATTCTTTGGCATAAGAGTTTAGTTACTTTGCATTAAGGGTCCTTCACTCAGCCTGTTTGCTGGTGAGGCACCACATTTGATCAAATATTTATGGTTTGCAATTGCAAAATACTGTTTGTTTTCCTGTTTGTGTCTGGTTAATTGAGGTAACTGTTGGACAATGAACAAATATTTGGAAATTGTTATTTCCATGATACTGCACATTAAAATACAGCTTAGTTTCTTAGTTTAAGAAAGTTGCATTTGAAGAGAAAACTGCATCTCCAACCCTGCTCTTCCCCCAACTCCTGAGCTGGCTCTAACGCAATGTTTCTCAGCCATTTTAAGATGTTTGGCTTCAGCTCCCAGAATTCTCCAGCCAGCAGGCTGGCTGTAGAATTCTGGGAGTTAAAGTCCACACATCTTAAAATGGCCAAGGTTGAGAAACACTGCTCTAATGACTTATCTGTGTGTTCAGTGCAACATCTGAAACATGTTAGCCATATAAATGTAGCTCTACATACATGGATTTGAGTGTAGTTGGGAATTGCACATAATCTAAGTACCAGAATGCATGGGGAATTGAGAGGCTGAGGGAGGACAAGGTGGCTAGATGTTATTACTAATAACACAAGCGTGAGCTTACAAAAATTCATAGAAGGAGTTAGTGACAGATATTCCTGGCAAGATGATGTTCTTCAGGTAACAAAGAATTGGAAGTAACTGAACCACAAAAAGACCATCTGTAGCAGGGCTGTCCATGAGGGGTGTCAAAAAAGTCAAGATGGCAACCTTACCCCCACGATCAAAGCCCCAGTCCTTTTAACTTGCACATGTAAAGTAGGGGCAAGGATTCAGTCGAGTGATTGTGATTGCCCTCTTGACGTTTTTGACCACCTGCCAGATGCCCCAGGCTTATTATCTTTGCTTTTCATACTTGTGCATAGACATGTATGACAGAGTATGTTGCAATTATCTCTCCACAGATGCAACTTAGTACACGTTCAGACCTTTTGTTCTGGTGCTATCAGTGCTTTTCATAGTATTGGATGCTGCTTTCATTCTTGCGGGCAGATAAAAAGATGAACTTTTTTTAACATGGTGTTTTTCATCTCTACTTTTTATGTCTCTGCCTATCACATCTTCAAAGAGAATATATTGCTAAATTGCTCTAAGTCTTTGCTGCAGCCCTGGAAAGAGAAAGCAGGGTCACTCCATCAGCTCTGCTGAGAAGGCAGCTCTTTTACCAGAGGGATAGACTAAAGTAGAACCAGCAGCAAAGGGTTCAGCAACTTTTGGCTTCTCTTCTCCTTTAAAGTATTCCCATCTGATTATTACAAGGAATTTGTAATTACAAGGAATTCGTACAAAGACCTAGTTACTGAGTTTGTTTTATCTCTTCATGTTCCCAGTCCCTTTCCTTTTCTGTCACATCATTTAGATTAATTATATGAAATGACATAAAAGCAGAGACAGTCTTATTACAGGATTTTGTAAGCCTTTTAAAGAGCCTTTTTATCTGAAGAGTGAGTTAAAGATAGTCTTAATAAAATAAGTCTAATAATATAATATGCTCCCTGATTGCTAGTTTCTAGCTGATCACGTTCCTTCTTAATTTTCTTGTTTTATTGTTTGTTTTCTGACTATTGGTTTTTAGTGCATTTTATTTGTAAGTTGATGCAAGAACCCTTTCCTTTTAAGTGGTAGGATGTGCAAAATAGGAAATAAATTATTCATATCTGAATAATTAGCATTCATTTTTTAAAAACTTCAGAGTGCTACGGGGAATGGTAGGATCAGGTGCAATTATGTATTGCAGGACACACAAGCTGAGAATGTTGATATAATGCAGCATCTAACTTGTGGTTAAAACAAATACATGCATTTATTTTCATTAGCCAGCAGTCATCCCTTTATCCTACAGCCAACTACTACAGTTGCTTTCAGGCAGATTTTATATCATTAATGGCTCATGCTAGGTAGAAATTCAACAGATAAAGCTAAATCCCTTTCACATCTATGGAAAGAGAACCTGTAAAAGCTGAATTTCAATCATGCAGTAGTTCTTAGATATAAGGGGAATGTAATCATTTGGGAAGAAATACAGAAAGCTGCCTTTATCAATTTGTATAATTCATGCTAGATATTGGAAGTCCTCTTTGTTGACCTTTGTTTTTAAAATAGGAGATGTCAGAGATTTAATGTGTAGCCTTCTGCCAAGTAGGCCTGTGCGGTACACCCATCACTTTAAATCAGAATATAATTTACTTGTTCATGCCTTAACTCTGTGAACTCACAATAGTTTGTAAACTATTAATGGCTGCTTACTACCATGTGAACATAGATTAGGTTGGTTTATTCAATCAACTCTTTTAAATCCTGCCTTAATGCAATATGTGAAAAAAAAACTGAGGCTAAATGGCCAAAGCAGGGGAAAAATTTTGCCTGCAGAACTTGTCTGTTGCTTTGCCAGAAGCACATCGGCTAGGCAGACCACTAACCATCCGGTAGAAGCCACCACAATACCATGCACGCAATAACATTGTCACACAAATGACGTAAGTTTGTGTGATGACATAACAAGTCACTAGCTCTTCTGACCCTTTTGGGATCAAGATGTTGGATAAATGGATCTCTTGAGCTGATCCAGCAGAGCTCTCCTGTGAAGTAGTTTTAATGTCATATAATTAAAAAGCAAGAGGTGATGCTTGAGATTTTTTTTCATTTGGATGAAGAAGTTCACCCTTGGATATTCCAGGAAGGAATGAAAGGGTCATATCTGCTGGTCACACATCAGCCTTCTACAATCCCTCCTAAATGAGTTGGGCTCAATTTCCAAGACACTGTGACTGGGAATTAGGAGAATTGAAATCCAGGTAGCTGAAAGGCACCAGCTTGAGGAAAGCTGTCATCTGTTCTTACACATGCAGAAACATACAACCACAATTTTTTAAAATGCACATAAAAACCTGTTTAATTGCCTACTGAGATTTGACACTTCTCTTTTTCACTTCCCTTTCTCAAATTCACTTGAGGTCCAGTCCCCAGAAGCCACTCTGTGTGCTCCGTTTTATCATCTCAACCTCATGATACAATTCCTGGTCCCCACCACAGACCTTTAACTATTTTGGTAAAAGGTACATTGGCTCAGGAGGAGGGGCGCTCCAGTACAGTTTATAGACGTGAACTCTGGAATCAGCGGTCCCCAGAGTCCTTCACCCCAAAGTCGGTGAGACTTTTTTCAGAATAAACGTGGCTGCCCGCCGGCTTTCCTGCTGAAGAAGAGAAAACTCATTATCAGTGTTGGATATACGATGAAAAACAACCCTGCGCGCCAAGGCAATCCCTTGGAGATCAAGATGGTAAGAAATTTAGTCGTCTAATATAAAGAGTATCTGATTTGGAATAGAAAAGTTGCCCTAAGGAACTTTACACGAGCTTCACCCATTCACAAGTTGCACGGAGCGCCACATCCCGCGAATTCCAGGCGGCCCCTCGGCCGCTCTCTTCTCTCCCCCCATCCCGCTCCCCATTGCCAGGTTGTGAGCTGTTTCCGCCGTCCCGGGTCACGTGCGCCCGGGGATTAAAACTCCTCGGCCAGGCTCCTCCGCGATGAAGCTTTTCGGTCGAAGTCAATCGGGGATCCCGCCAACGCAGGCGACGCCGCTGCCGCCTGCGGCTTTGCCGTCGGGGCGGCTGGCCGTGGCCACGCCTAAAGCAGCCGTGGGCGACTCGCTGCAGGAGGAGGTAGCCCCCGTCAGACTGGCTGTTAGGGGGTGGTGGCGTGGGGGGGGGCATCTTCGGGGGCTGCAGCTTCCGCGTTGCTCGGGCGTCCGACTCGAGGCCGAAAGGTCCTGTCACCCCTTCCTCCCTACCCTGCGGCTGGGCTGTTTCTCGTGGTCGTGCTCCCCCTGCTCTGTCCCTAAATGCGCTCCTGCCGTGCAAAATAGTTTCCTCTACTGTATAGCGCCCCTCTTGCACGGAGCACCAGGCGGAAGGTCGTACAGTGCAGTTATTTGGGCATCCCCAGGCGCCTTTCAAGAGGACTCGCACCCTGCGCCTTTACTGGGGATGGAGTTGTCGGTTGCCGGCCGTCCTCCGCTTCAGTCGTCAGGCGGGCAGAAGTAGTCTTTGCTCGTCTGTGGTGCCGCCAAAAGTTTGTCCTTACGAACAAATAAACCGGGTGGGGATGGAGGGGAGACCGCGTCCGTGTTGATTGGGGGAGCTCCATTGTTGCTCTGTATTTGCATACTACTTTCCTGCAAGCTTACGAGAGTTCGGCAAGCTGAGCCAGACGCTTTCGACGCGTTCCTTGGCCCGGGTTGGCTCAAGTAGAGACGCGGCCGGAGCCCTTGGTTGGGTGGGGCGAATACTGTAAAAGGAGCGCTGGAAGCAAGGGTGCTTGCCAAGCAGCCTTCTCTTACTTTGCCCCACCCGGTTTGTCCGGCTGTGAGCCCCATCTTCCCCAGTCAGTTTGGGGATGATGGGAGTTGTAGTCTGACATAGGTAGAGGGAGCCAGGAGGAGGCTAATGGCCCTGGCTTTTGTGCCTCCTCTGACAGTTGCCTCTCCTAATGCATTGTAGTAGATCCTGCCTCATTGTAGGCTTGCAGGGGTAGGTACTGCTGTTGTGCAAGGGAGGCCCTGGACTCAATCCCATTTTACTTAAAATGGCAAAGGAGGGGACATCTCTGACGAATTCAAAAGCACCCACGGTCTTTTATGTATTTTGGCTGGTTGAAACGAGATGCTGGCTTTTTCCTCCCTTGTAAGCCAAAATAGCTACTATTGGTTGTACTTCTTTAGTTAAAAATAGTTTAAGTAAGTTTCTTTCTTCGTAACCATGAAACAGCTGGTGGCACACCTGTTTTATAGGGGTAGTGGGTCTTTTTGCTATTAGATCTTGGCAGCTGTTGAGCTGTAAAACTTCCATAATTTCTAACAACTATCTCTGCTAGTTGAGAGTGTTGGCAGTTTGGGTGGATCCTAGATGGGAAGAGGCCGATTGTTGTAAATGTCCTGACTGAAAGAGAAAGCCGCCCCAAAGGCCAAGAATGCCTTCTCCATCATAGGAATGTTGCGTTCTTGTAATAAACTGGATTTTGTCAAAAGTTTCTTTGGTGGTTTGATTTGTTCCCATCACAGAAAAAATAACTTTCTTTTCCAGATTCCATTTTTTTTTAAAGCCTTACTTTTCCAAGACATAAAGTTGCAAATCTGAGGCATTTGACTATAATTAATCATAGGAGAGGCTGGATCTCAATCTGCACGTGGTCTTTGCTGATGAGACTGGTGGGGCCATTTTGACCTAGGCATTTGCCTTAGCTTGTTGAATGGGAATGGGCTGCGCTGTTCATATTGCAGATGGGGTGCTATGATTGGTCTGGTTCAAACATTACTGTAAGCTTTATTCTCTATCTTGCATTCTCAGATAATTGAGAATCAGGTACCTACAGAATGTTATATGCCCTGAGGTTGCCTTATCTCAAAGCTAACCATACACAGTTCTTCTATATCTCCTTTTAGGTCTTGGTTTTTCAGTCCCTTGCACATCCTCTTTGCCTTTCTCTGAATCTTTTGTTTTTAAGTAATTTTTAAAGTGTGGGGCTCAGACCAACTCAAATAAAATGAACTTATTAGGTTTTGTGATTTGGAAACTACACTTCTCTTGATCGAGCCAAAACCCAAATGCATTTGGCTTTTTCTTCCAGCACATCACATTGTTGTGCAGGCCATTTGAAGCTCCATGCACAGACCTGGACACATACATCATTTTTCAAGACTGTTTAACCAATTGTAACTAGCTGGGTATAACTGTTTTGATAAGTATAATAGGAACATTATTCTTATTGGGGGTGCCTTTGAGTCAATGTTGACTCCTGGTGACTGCCTGGACAAGCCCCTGCAATTTTCTTGGCAAGGTTTTTCAGAAGTGATTTGCCCCTGCCTCCTTCCTAGGGCTGAGAGAGAGAGATTGACCCAAGATCACCCAGCTGCCTTTTGTGCCTAAGGCAGGACTAGAACTCATAGTCTCCTGGTTTCTAGCCTGATGCCTTAACTACTGTGCCAGACTGGCTCCAATAGGAACATAGAATGGACAAATAAAACAGACTGTTGCTGGCTCACCAGTTTCTTGCCTGGCTAGGCAGGGGTGATAGTTGGTATTAGAGCATGTGTTTTGGTCCTAGGTTGACTCTTCAGTTGTTCCAATGAAAACACACACACACCATTGTGACAGCTACCTACTGAATCACTGGACACTCACAAAGTAGGCAATGTTAGTTTACATGGACAAATGGACTTGATAAGGCAGTTGCATATGATTGGTATTTCTGCTTTTTCCAGTTTAAATAGTAGCTATTGTAAAGGGTGGGGGGCAAAGACCATGGTGCATGGCAAACGTTAACCATGTCCCCTTGCATCCTACTCTAGTGAAAGTTACCACCCAAGTACTAAGGGCTGCATTTTTCTAAAACTGTAGTGCTTCCACAGGAACAGCTGAAATGGATTGTGTTCTGGCAGCTTCAAAAGTGGGTTATTTTTTAAAAAAATAACTAAAAGGATAACATGCATGGTGCACTATGGTACAATGTGAGCAACAAAAATAAGTTTCCACAATAAAGTCTTAAATGTGATCAGAGCATAAATGCAACAATTTCACAGAAGCTAAATGAATCTTAATCTGATCAAGGAATGAATAGAAGACATCTAATTAGTCCATGTGTACATTCCCAGTTCCATCACTGAAGACAGATGACTTCTAAATGAAATTTGTTCCTGACAGTGAGGCTATAAATGAAAAGAGACCAATAAGGCAGAAGTATGAGCAAATATTTTGCATGTATTTGACTCCATCTTGCCTAGGGATGGTGGAAGTTGTAACCCAACATCTCTGAAATCTAAATTAGAAAAGCCTGGATTAAACCATTAAAGTGATTCCCTCAAGTCAGGCTCCATTCCTAGTGAATATGGAGGCATGTCCATGTCATTTTTGTGGCAGTAATAGAGAAATGGCATGCCATATCACTCCATTAATGGGAAATGTTGAATTTAAGAAGGAGCTTAGAAATAAGGAGAGATTATCTTTATCAGACATGCTAGGTAAGCAGCCATTATGGGATAACATGGATGAGAGTATCAGAAACAAAAATATGACATGTTGGATTTGAAAAGAGGCTATATCTTCTATATGTGTTGTACAATTTTGGGAAAATATGGAAGCCCCTCCCCCCAAATAGCAAACCAGAACTTTGCTCTTCCCTTCTTCAGGGGAATGAGTCCTGCGGCTAGTTCTTAAAATTAGACCTTGTATAGTGATCAACCATGTTAGATGCTCTGAGACCCATCACTTGCCCTGCTGTATGCATCTTTGAGAAGGAGATACTTACCAGAGTTTGTGGGAATATATAATATGTTGTGTTCATTAACCATTTTGGGGGCCAATTCTATTTTTCAGTCTGTTTTCTCTAAGACTAATAGATTAGCATAACAACAACAACAACAAGTGGATTAATTTCTTCTACTTGATGGATTTACCATAGCAAAATATTGGAAAATTAAAGTATATTTTTATTTGAAACACAACAGCAGACATTGAAAAAATCCTTTATTTAAGGATTGTTTTACTCAGATTTGGTTTCCATTTGTTTAACTGTGTTAACAAAGTAATTACTTCCATCTGCAGAAATGTATTTTTGGATAGAAATACTGAATATCAATGTTTAAAATGTTTTGTATATCCTTACGATTACAAGTACTTACACATTCACCCAAATTGTGTTTCCTTTTCTCTCGAAGATTTGCTGATGTATGCTTTGTTTGGTTTTGTTCCTTATTTTCAAAGTTTTGTCAGTTTAGTAGTGTTTAAATCAGGCATACAATTTGAGATTGCTTTGGAGATTAAGATATGGGTCATGTCAATAGTTCTGAGTTTCACAGGTATTCCAGGCACTTTCCTGCTGGTGCAGAAGACGTTACATAGGCCTCAACACACTCTGTTCCTTGTCACCAAGCTTGAGATACAGCACAGATTTGTGCTTGACTTAAAGGGCTCCTTACGTGCTTGGGTAGCTTCAGGTGCCTGTCCAAATGTGGGAATGATGCCTGAGCTAAAGGTCAGGACAAAAGTTGGGGGAGAGCTCACTCTGATGAATTGAACTGTAGGCCTTTGACATTTTACATGAGAACAAAAATGGAGTAGAAAGAGTGGGTGGGAGTTTCACAGCTCAGCTCTTAAAGGAAGTTTTTTTAAAAAGTCATTTCTGCAATAATGGCTATCTTTGTAATCTAATGTGGGATTCATTTGAATTCTTCCTCCTAGTTCTTGAGTTACTTCTGGACATCTGAAATGGTGCTTTGTTGCAAGGGCACTTGAGTCTTTTTCAGAGGCTGTAGCTATAGCAGAACTGGGGGTTCTGCAGTACTGCACGCTCATAGAAAGAGGCTGCGTCATTCTACAGCAACCAGGGCTCATCACCACAGAGGTTTGAAGGGAATCCACATGCTTCCATTAAGGGTGGCAAGTGGCTAAGGAGTGTGATTAGTTGATGAACAAGGTACCTTTTTTTCTCTAAGGTGTGCATTGCTTTGGTGAAAAGAATTAGGGGTTTTACACCAACAGTAGGTGAGAACTGGCTCTATTTCCACACGCTTGCTTCACTGCATTCAAGAGAGAGCTCTTTCTTCAGAAACTAGTAAGTGAGCCTGTAATGAACTGGATGTTGCTGAATTCTAATTCCCAGCATTCTTCATGTTGGATCATGCTGGATGAAGCAGCAGAGAGTTAAAGTTCAGCCAAATTTGGAGGGTCACAGATTCTCCACTCTTTTCTGGGAACTGCTTCTTCAAGGAGTTCCTGAGTATGACTGTGAGGCTGAGTTGGGGCAACAGCTGGACCAAACCCAGATTTCTGGTTTAAGGTCTCCCAGATTGTTGGGTTAAACTAAAATCAGGTGGCTCTGGAATGGCTGCATTGTCCAATATATTTAAAGCATGTCTATATATTGTATGGATAAAAGATAAGCATAAAACAGAACTATACTCAGTTCCATCCCCTACTTTATACTCTCATTCTAAATAGGATGACCTCTTTGAACAGTCAGGATTTTTGTGCCAGGAATAGACTTTTTTTTCCCAAGACCACTACTTAAAGTAATAAAAAAGTTAACCATTACATTTTAATAACTAAACCATGTGGTTAAAGTAATCCCTATCATTGTTGCCTTGCATAGTGCCTGCTGATACATGGGCCTGTAAAACATGGATCACTAAATGTTTTATTGTGAGCCCTCTGACCTAGGACAGCAGGTCACTCTTAAATCTTCAGACTGATTTTCAAGGGACATCATGAGGAGCTCTAAACCCTGTGTATGTTTGTGCTGTAAACTTCAGAAGGGAGGGCTAAAGCTAGCCTATCGTGCAGTCAGTCCTGTGAATGTTGATTTACAAGTCTGTTCTGTTGAATTTAATGATGTTTACTATTCATGATGTGGGCACAGGACTAATGTCACATATTCAGCAACAGATTTTTATAGAGAATAAACTCTGCCATCACTAGTACATAGCCACTACATTTATATTGTGAATAAATGACTGACATCACTGACTGACATCAATAGCTACAGCAAGGCTGGGACTATATGACACTATGCTGTAATCTTACTGCCTTATAGTATTAAAGAATGAAATGCTATTGTAGGGCAGAAGTGGGGAACATCTAGCTTTCCAGACATTGCTGAACTACAACTTCCATTTCATAGAGTAGTCAGTGATGAGCAATAATAGGAGTTGTAGTTTGGCAAGATCTAGAGGAGAAAAAAAGGAATAGAAGATTGTTAAGCTAATCTACCTACTGAGTGCAGCAGTCAAAATTCAGCCATATTGAATATACTTATTTTTTTCATTTTATCAATAGGACCTTCTCTTGGCAGCGGCATACGTCTATGATGCCCAATACAATAGGAACATCCCATTTGAGACTTCACCAAAGGCGATCAGGTAAAGCCAGGGTTATAATAGTTCTGAAGTGCGGTGTAAAGAGATGTCTTGGAATGCTTATGCTTAATAACATCTTGCTCAGTCATCATGCAGGGAATTTTTTTTTCCAAGATACATGGCCAAATGTTTGACTCTCCAATAAGCTGCATAAGCATAAGTCATATTGAATGAAATTAACTTTGTGGTGCTTTAATTGTCTGAAACCAGTGTCCCTTCACATTTTGGCCCAAATGTAATTAAAAATAATTGATACTCTTTTAAAACAAAGTTGAAAGAGACTAATAATTATTGTTTTGAAATTAATTGTTAGCTTTTTTCTGAGTCTATGTATGTTTTATATATAGTTTGATTAGATGAATGAGCTGGTATTGGCCCAACAGAGTCTATCTGGATACTTGATATAAGGATGCTAATATCAAAGTCAAAGTCAATCTTTATTGTCATTGTACTTCTCGTACAACGAAATTAAATGCCACCCCAGTGCAGCTTTAAAAATATAAAAACCATAGAACACATAAAACACATAAAACACATAAATATAGGGAAAGCATTGTGCCTCAGTGAGCAACTTGGCCTAATAAAAGAAATTCAGTATTATACTTTCCATTATGGAATAGTAATGTGAAGATCTAAGATTCTGAGATGTTTAAGTCTTTGAGATATGCCCAGAAATTAAATATGCCCCATGTACTTGCTAGCAAAGCTAGGTCACTATTGAAGGCCGAGGAATTCTGGGAGTTGAAGTCCACTCATCTTAAAGTTGCGAAGGTTGAAAAACACTGGTCTGGAGAGATGGATAGCACTTTAGCTGGGCTGCCACAGCTTTAGAATGCTCTCTGCAGGGAAACTTGCTTAGTGCCTATTTTGTTGTGTGTTGCCAGATCAAGTTCTCAATAACTTGTCCCCTGTTTTTGTGGAAGATTAGATCTGGTGGGTTTAAGCTACAGTAGGCAAGATAGTAACTGGTAATTGGTTCTGTTACTTTTAATTATACACAGAGGCTTTGTGAAGGTCTTCAGGCTAAGGCTGGTGCTATACTCTTCTGGAGATAGTCGGTAATTTGCTGCAGTGTGCAGGGTCAGATAAGATCTCCTCCAATCAGGCCTTTCCAAACCTTTCCATGTACCATTTGATTCTGTTTTATCATGCTTTTTGTTGTTGTTCCTTTGCTTCTAAGTATTGTAATAGTAAATAATAAGATTAGGGCCTTTTATTTTACTTAAGAAGTCCTTGAGAATTAACATGAAATCTGGAACAGAAATTACGTAATATTTCTTAAAGGTATCTTGGCTCCCCTAGTATTTTTTCTCCCAAGTTTGGAAAGGACATATATGTTGTTTTTATTGGCCTGGAAATGACTTCAGAGTAATATCAAAGATCTGCTTTTATGCCATGTTGAGAACAATGTCTCATATTTTGTTGAAGAACAAGTTCATAGTCTTTGCAACATCCACAATTGTAGAATAGTTTTTAATTGTTTAGAATAGGCTGAGGATTCTTGTTTGAAGCCACTTGCTTTTTTACCAATGTTCCAATCACTTCCATAAGTTTTCTTTACTTAGGCTTTATTATCTCTATAACCACTGGACCATGCAAGCAGTTACCTACTTCTTCATTTTTGTAGACCTGGCACTTGCACTATTTGAAGAGCCAGCTGTGTACCCACTTCCTTTCTTGGTAAGTATGTGACAAAATATAACAGGCAATACTTGGAAGTTAAAAGCTGTAAAAGTATGTGTGGAGATAGAGATAAACCACATTTATAGACCATTCAAGAGACAATAAAAAATTTAGAAAGGAAACAAGACAAGGACACCTCCCCTCCAGTAGCCAACATTCAGATAAACAGGGATCAACATCAGACAAATAATCAGGCAGAAAACAGTACTCTAATCAAGGAACCACCAAGGAGGAAACCACACCCCCACCAAAATTGGCAGGGCAAGCTATTCTATATAAACAGGCAGCAAACCCCACAGTCACTCACACTGATGATGTTACCAAGTTGGGTGATGAAACGTTCGCAAACAAACAACCAAACTCAGCACCAAGAACTCAACAAAAATGTATGTGCTAAAGCAATCTTAAGTATGGTCATGATGATAAGCACTTTTTCCCCTTTGACTTGGATTTAGCATTTATTCATTTCTGAAATTATCTATTCTTCAATAGATTACATCACTGATTGAAGTCTTATGCCTTTTTGTCTTCTTTGGAAGACTTATCCATTTTGCACACGTTACACCTCGTGATACATTCTGGAAAGATACAAAGAACATCTGCATCATGATAACAGTCTCGGTGGGTTATACCTTATACTTGCCTTCTATAAATAGTGAATTGTCTTAGTTATAGCTGAAATCATTGCTTGAAATCAATAGAAACTAAAGTAGTATATTGAGATTGGGCAGCCCAGAAATGCTATTAAATAAACAATATGTTATTGATTTAAATTTGTCTGTTCCAAGCATACCCAAGTCTGATCCAGTACAGCCTGGTTGCCATTGAAAGATTTGTAACATAGTATAGTGGTACTGTGCTTGCTTGCTGATAGTGCTGCACTCAGTCTTGCGTGGGTTAAGTCCCCTCTTGACCTGTAGTTGTAGTTGCTGTGAGAATAAAATGAAAGCAGAATGTCTCCCCAGTGTGCTGTTTTGAGCAACTTGAAGAAAAATGAGGTATAAATGTAATGATAAATACAGGAATGAAGAATGGGTGAAGGTTCAAGCTGTTCTACAGATTTTGCATCACTACTGAGAAATGATGGGCAGCCCATTTTGGTTTGAGATTTTGGGAAGTTAAAACAGATGAGATTATCATCCTTATTTGTACAATGACACAAATCATGCTGTTGAATTTTGATAGCACAATCATAGCAGGGGGTCTGTTGTGAGCTGCCTAGAATTTGGTTTTAAGATGGGTGGCCATAAAAGTGTTCTTTTGCCTTGTGTCTTTGATGCCACGATTGTACACCAATTCCTGTTTGCTCAAGCAACCATGTTTAGGTACATCAAATGCACATATAACTATGCTTTGGGGTAAGAAAGAAGTGCAGTAGTCTGACAAACACTGTACCTGCAAATGCTGCATTTCAAAAAAAAAGTTTCTGCTAATGGCAATGAAACCAACAAGGGTAATTTCAGTGTTGGACTGAAGCTGAATCGGTCCTGCTTGCATCATCTTTATTCAAAAGCACTTATCACTTTTCATTATCTGGAACTCAAATGTCTCAAAAATATCTAGGCTGGATTCTTGCATGTGCAAAGAGGCTGCTTTATAAGGCCTCAAGTCTCATGCCTTTTGTTTTACTGTCCTCTATATACAAGGGCCTTGTTTTAAACTGAATAGCCTGTTGTGCTGGTACAACAATGGTGGAAGTTTTAAATACAATCATGTAGAGAATCATTGGTACATTCTGCTCATTCTGGATTCCAGATTCTGTACCTAAACTAACTTACAGTCCTTATCTCACTCTATTTTCCCATGTTTCTAAATCAGAAGACTTAAAAGTGACAATCTAATTCTGAGTCTGAATACCAATGAATGAAACGTTGACTCTCTTTTCCTACACTATGCTCTCTTTGTGGATGCCAGTACAAATCTCTGATGTATGAGACCCAGATGTATAATTTTTTGAGGTCAGATTCTTGACTCTAGCATGCTAATATCTTGTGTGTGAAATCTAAATGCTTGCATAATTTTATCTTCAGCTTGTTGGAAAAGAGACCCCTACCTATCTCTGAGTGTTTATTTAAACATGATTGCTTAAATATAAGTGGCTTTTTTCTTTTCCTTCCAAATCCTAGATGACATTGATTGACCTAATTATCTATGGCACTCTTAGAGCCTTGAACATTCATGGTGTTCGGTGGTCCAGGCCAATGAGACCCATCTTCTTAATAAACTTTGCAGAGAGTCGTCAGGTAGGAAACTAGGGTGGGTATTTCCATGTTTGGCAGTCCTAAATATGGTTAGTAGATAAATAATGCTGTTGCTGTGGTTATGTGTATGCACTTTAGAGGATATTTCCATTTCTCTTTGAAAATTTTTTCTTCCTCTCTCTCTTTTCTGTCCAAATAGACAGGCTTAACCTGGCCTAACTTTGGGAAAGCTGAAGCATGAAGTAAGATATTGTTGAGCCTCCAAAAGCCAAGAACATGCTGGCCTGGCTTGTGGAGGGTATTGGGAAGTCTGCATGTGGGGATGGTAGTGGCTAATTTGAAGAGGTCTAGAACAGTATTGAGGTGGAAGCTACAGAAAATGCAAGTCCTGTTCCCCTATGCATCATTCTTGTGTTTCTTTTAGTTAAAACATAGATTGAAAAATTGTACTTTCCCCAGGAAGGACAAGTGGGGAAAAATTGCATGTCAGCTGTACCTGACATATAATGGAACAGGAAGTATGACTTCTCTATGTTGTTTGTTCCTTCTGTATTTGAAACTGCTCTGAGCATGAAGCTTAGTTGTGAAGTACCTGAAATGTGATGCTCAAAATGCCCATCTCCATGGCAACATCGTCCTCTCTGGTTTAATGCAAAACTGAAGTCTGCCTTATAAAGCTGCATCCATATTTTCAGTTGACATATGATAGATTTCACCATAGATTTCACCAACTCATCCTGCCTCCTGGTGTCTCTGCAGATGCCTATAGCAGAGAGGTCTATGTGCTTATAAGTGCCGAATGTATGAAGGCTCTCCTCTATAGATACAATAATTGTAAGAGTGCAATTTTTGTAGAGAATTTGGAAACTAAAGAAGCTTAATTATTAGCTGTTACAGAACACTGAAATGGGTTCAAGGCTTGTTGTTGCTACTTTAAAAAAAAATTCTACTTATATATGTATGCATACAATCAGAGCCAAATTAATTAAGCTGCTGGTATCAACCATTACAGCTGCTTTGGTTTTAAGTGTATAGACGAAACAAGGATTCAGAACTTGCTGTGTCCTCAGCCAGTAGGTATGGTGGAGAGTTGACTTGTCCTGAAGAGGCTTCTGTTTGTATAGATGGGAGGTTCCTTTGCATGGCATAAAGTGAATGTGACCTGCTAAACTAGTCTTGAAGGTTGATTGATTTTTGCAGTGTGGTTCTAGTGATCCCTTAGAAAAACAGTTCCAAGGATTTGGGGAATGGCACCTCATCCCATTCATTTCCTGGAATATAAAACCTCTCAACTGTCTGAAAAATCTCAACTTTGGAGATAGGGACTGGTTGCTGGATCATTCCTTCAGGTTAAAATAGAGATATCTTGCAGCTGGATCTAACTCTATAGGCAAAGGTTATCACACAAGTAATAGTGGAACACAGATGCTCTTTTTGGCAGATCCGGCGAGCATTTCGAAGCATCCGGAACACTCTGCCTGAGATCACCTATGTCTTTCTGCTGTTCATGTTCAGTGTTCTGATGTTTTCTCTCATGGCTCTGAAGCTGTTTGGAGACAGGTACGGGTGCTCAGGTTAGCATCAGTGCAATTGCTTTTGGGAAGGGGTGGGTGGGAGGTATTCTCCTAAATAATAGCTCAAGCAGCTTGCCTTAATTTCTCCTGTGTCTTTGCAATCCCTCATTTTTTAAATACATGATTGTTTTTGTTTGAAGGAATTTGAAGACCCTGGAAGGCTTGCCATATTTTACAAATTATCTTGAAGTTGTATTTGATATGTACGTGCTGGTGACCACAGCAAATAGCCCAGACATCATGTAGGTAATTCTACTCTCTTCAGACCTGAAGTGGTTGTTAAGTTGTGGTGATGTGCAGTTATTCATTGCCCTTCCCCTGCCATTTTCAGAGTGAAACAGTCCTAATCTGAATCCTCAGCTCATACTGGAGGATGGGGAGCTGAGATAAACATGTAATGAATGTGAAGATTATACAGGGCTAAATTGCTTCTTCCAGGCTCCCTGCATTTCATTTGGAAATTAGATAGAGGAAATATTTTGGCTCAGAAAGGGTGGTCACTGAGAGGAAGAATTAGTTACCTAGGCAACTTCTGGAACCGTATTATAGATATTTACCTCCTCTGGGGAGTAGATATATGACTATTGCATCAGTTTTGTGCAGTAGCTATGACTATAGATGGACCTCTATTCATGGGGTTTATGTTCCAGCATATAACTATGGATACCAAAATCACAGATAACAAGTCCTTGAGCCTTTGGGAATTGAAATATTAGGTTAAGGAGCACTGGAAAATTACCAAAACTGTAAGCAAAGATAAGAATATTGTAGCATGGCCATCTCAGATCTTCTTTTTCCCATTCCATTTTATTTAAAGTAAACAGTAAACAAAGACTAAAGAAATACTGTGAAGGAAGTAACATACTGGAACAGGATGACTGTGTAAAGTCAGAAGATGCAGATTGCTTGGATATCAGGGATAGAGGCTAGCTGTGGACTTCTGCACATGCTCAAAATAGCAAACAGATCAGAACTATGCATCAAAAACCATGGATACATGACACTCTTGACTACAGACAACAATTTCTCAGCTATAGTTATCAACAAAACCATGGACATCCACCTGTATAGTGATATGTGTATGGTTGGGTTCAAATCATGGTTTAGCTCTAGCTTAAATCAGCCACAATTGTCTGGGTTTATTTATCCCACTAAGCAATGAACCACAATGGCTAGATTTACATGTCATGCTATAAAACTAAATAAATCCCATTAAAAAGCCCAGGTGATTCTGTGATCCCATTCAAGGTATGGGAAAAATGCTTTCAGCATTCTCATCCATTGCCACCCATCCACTTGCTTCTCTGGAAACCACTAGGGCCTTCTTCTTAATATATTTAATGCACATTTTCTTTCTTCCTTATAGGATGCCGGCTTATGACTTCAGCTGGTGGTACAGTTTATTTTTCATAATCTATGTTATAATCAACACCTACATTTTCATGTCAGTCTTTTTAGCAGTTGTGTACAACAACTACAGGAAACACCTAAAGGTAAACTCTGCATCGGGGTAGCCCCTGCCCTTAAGCCTGTTTGCTGAGCTCACATCCAGAACTTCCCCAGTTTACACCACTGAAATGTGGCATCAAAACAGCAACATCTGGCAATGTCTCTTGGGGAGTGGGGCAGGGAAATGAGGCACAAAATAGGTGTGTTAAGCCTGTGATAGATTTAATGCCCCTATTTTTTAGCCTCTCAACATTTCACAAAAAGATGCTGAACATTTCACTCTTGTCCTCTCCACTACAATTGCTGTATCACAATTATAGGCCTTGAAAGCCACTTTTAAAGCATTATCCCAGCCACAAAAATGTTGTCCACCCCACCTTAGCTGTGGACTGTTTGGAGTGTTGGTCTGTTTCAGAGTTTTCTCTAATTTTTTAAAAAATGTACTTTTGCAAATCTTTAGTGCTCCAAGTCTGCTGATTTTTCCCTCTTATATGTGGGTGATGTTGTTTAGCAACTGGAGTCAACACTCACAGCTTGCATATCTGAAATAGAGATATTAGTTGCCTTCCATTAGGGACAGAAAAAAATCTGTCTTGGTTGCAGAGATTTTGCAAGAAGTGGGTATAGTGGATTCCCTATAGGATATTGTCCCTGAGTTTCAAAGCTGACCGCTGAGCTTCCCTATAACCTCGAGTTACAACTTTTCTTCCTTAACAGTTATTTGTGTTTTCCAGAATGAGATCCGCAAGCTTGTTTACATGAAACGTCACAAAATGATAGAAGCCTTCAACCTTCTGAAAGTCAAAGAAAGAGATGAATTTGTTGTCCAAGAAGATCAGTGGAAGAGTCTGGTAAAAATGGTGGCACCTCATATCAGTGCATCCCATCGAGAACTCCTTTTAAGGATATCTGATGAAGAACAGAAGGGCTACGTGGGTGAGTATCAGCTAAAGATGCTTTGAAGACATTAGTTGCTTCAGATTCTGATGCAAGCTGATCAGATCTGCCCTTTGAATCCATGTGCCTCTAAACATTATGGAGGAGGCAAAAAAGCATATCACCATTATTGTGCATACTTATTCCAAGATATGCTGTATCTTTGGTCTTCAGGAGCAAACCCTGCCTTGGTGAAATTTAAAAAGAAAAAAAAGGAAGATCCAGTTATAGACTGCTTTTAATATAAGTCTTTGATTTTACTTAAAGCCCTACTTATCCTATATATTAAAGGGGAAAAAAACCTAACCATATTTGGACTCAGCCCTAGTTATTACTTCTTTATGATTTGATGGGAATAAATGAAGACAAGATGAGATCAAGTTGTATCCTGAATTCTCTCTTGCACACTTGTGTTGAAAAGTGGTTGAATGCATATGTTAAATCAGATCTACCTATCCCAAGATCATCTTTCCCCTTTGAGTTGTTTCCCACAAAAGAAAAATGGATGACGAGTAGAGAGTATGTTACACAGTAGACCAGTGTTTCTGAACCTTGGGAACTTTAAGATATGTGGACTTCAACTCCCAGAATTTCCCAGCCACCCATGGTGGCTGGGGAGTTCTGAGAATTGAAGTCCACACTTCTCAAAGTTCCCAAGGTTCAGAAACACTGCAGTAGGCCAATGAAAAGTTTATCTTCCACTTGTAATACTTTCTGGCACTGTGTTCTGGTTTAAAAAGTTAAAAGTAGAAATGATCTGATTCACATTTTTTAATGGGGTCAGGATTACCTTCATAGAATCTGGGTGATTCATTCCATGCACATTCTGTAAAACACATAGTTAAACTATTGCAAACTATCATTGTCTCTCATGCACACAGTATGCACGCTCATCAGTGTCTGTGCCAAACTATGATGATGTCAAACTGATGACATCATTGCACAAAAACCGCAATGGTGTACTGGTGCTGTGACATGTGATGCAAATGTGTAAGTTGTGGGATCTGCATGATGATGTCAACACACATCTGTTCTCCTTTTCCCCTTGCTCCACCTGTGGGTGCATATCCTACTGTATATGAGCAAATGCAGATTGTTGCTATTCTTGATTTCACGCTGTGATCATTTTAATAGAAAGTTTTGATTAGGGCTGCTTCTAAATTAGATGCTTTCACTGTTTTGTATATGACAGATAAAAAATCCTTTGTACGTCTGGCTGATCTTTTGAATATAGAGGTGATCACATTGAAGGCCCACATCCACCCTTTAGACATCTGGTTTCCCCAGGTGTATAACTCTGCTCCCAGCCTGTTTTTACGCAGAATGATCCAGCACAGGTATGTCTGTATGACTCGCCTTATTCAGGAAATGACTTGTAATGGTCCCAGTATAATATTTCTACTTGTCCATATGGCTCTTCTGGGTGGCACATAATCTAGCAGCTGCTTTAAGATTCAAAATGTACTTTATGAAATATAAACTCTTGGTAGGCAATATACCAAATCGATCTCTATTTCATTTTCCTGCAGAGCATTCATTTGGATGTATGATATTATCATACTAATTAATGCAATCTTCATTGCACTGGATGAGAAGAATCCATATATTTCCTATGCAGAGTGGGTGTTCCTATGTTTGTATATAATTGAAATACTCCTGAAATTGTATGTCTTTGAACCCAGGACTTTTTTTGCAAGAAACCAATTCTGGAACTGGTAAGTAATCCTTAGCCTTGGTCTTTTTATGGTGAGCAAACCAGTTCCACCTTCTTTACATCCATTCACTGGAGAACCTTTCACATGAAAGCTTATTAGAATGAATTGTTTCTTTGATGTTATTCTGAGATGTGTTGACTTTATCAGAGTTTTCTTGGACATTTGTTATACTGGTCAGAGTCAATTTTGTTGCCCATAAAGATTCAATCTTCAAAAGCTTTTTTATTTAGCATGACAATTAAAATGATGTTCAGGAATAATGTTATAACTAAGATATATCCAGAAACATTTAGATAATTTAAATTCTTCTTAGGGGGGGAAATAATTATCATTAAAAAAAACTTGTGCCAAATGTGGGTCATGGGAAAAAACCCTAAAATCTGTATTGAGGCCATCTGAATGTCTTATAAAACAGTTGCAAGCTTTCAGGTTTCCAGGAACGACTTCCTAATGAAAAAGTATTGGAAATTAAAAACTTTACAACTATTTCAAATGCTTTTTGAGGCTGTATAAAGATTATTGCCTCAAAATGAATTTACCATGGAAATGCATCTACATCAGTGAACTACATCTTTTTGGACTTGCATAATAACCTTTCAGGGATTTCCTGTGCAATACTGTTCCTCCCCATCTTCATTTCAAGGAGACTAAAGCAATGCTTGAGAGCCAGTTTGGTGTAATGGTTAAAGGAACTGTGCTGGAAACAAGGAAACCATGCATTCTTGTCCTACCTTAGGCCCAAAGCTGGCTGGGTAATTTTGGGCTGGTCATTCTTTCTCAGCCCTGGGAAAAATAAGGCAATGGCAAACCACTTCTGAAAAGGTCACCAAGAAAACTCAAAGTCAAATGTTTCAAAGACTTAAAGACACCAAAAAAAGCGCCATGTTTAAATGGAGGATTTAATACTGACAGCATGCCACTTGTTACCCAAACTCGATTTTGGCAAAATTATGGCCTTCCCCTGTTTCATTTTGGAATCTATTTCTTTAAATGACTGTATTGTCATTTAAGTTTAATCCATGTAAGGCAACCAGGGAACAATTCTTCTCCAGTCTCTAACATCTAGGGGGGAAAAGTGCACTCCCTATGAAACTTAAATATATTATTTAGTACAAGTAGCAATAACAATTACAAAGTCCATCCTTTTCTGGGCTGCAGAATTCAAGATGACCAAGAGATTAAACAACAGACACTGAAAAATCACTTGCCATTTAGTGATTGGATTGGATTGTTGGAGCCCAGATCTGGTATACCTCCAGATCAGAACTTCCAAAATTCTCCACTAGCGTGAGATCTACAGTTCATTTCCAGTCTATTACCTTAATTAAGTTTTCAGCTTATAATTCTAATAGTTGTAAACTAACATGATTGGCAGGTTCAAACTGGGTAAGCTTGGATTTAGCTAACATGTTTCAGTCTCTTCTTCTTTTTAAATAATCTACAAACTAAACTCAGTTCTCCAAAATCAGCCAAATGGCAATGTGTAGTAAACACACATTTGTGCAACCAAGTTGCCAGAACTGCTAAATACTGCTATAGAAGTATCGATGTTCTACAAGTTACCATTTTTTAAAATATATTTAGTTACCTGAACAGTAGGCTGGGATGTTGTCCAGCCCAGAATTACAGGTGGAACAAAGAGCCCAAATGTTTAATGAATATACATCATTGGAACTATTGTGAAGGATAACAGTTTAGCTGTTTTACATTCCAAGTTTGGATTGTTCTAACAGAAATTGGCATTTAAGAAATATTGGACATTTTAGTGTCATAGTAGAAAAACATTGAAGAGCCAGAATGAACTTTCTACAAGAAAGAGGGAAGCTCTCCAGTTCATACATTCTTGCCCTTATATTGGATTATTTTGGTATAACACAGTCTTTGTCTTATTTGAGAAATGGTACGTAGGTTTAATAATATAAATGTATTTCAGATATGCTTCAGAAATGTCTCCTTTAGGCCCTCCTAGAAAATTATGTTAAAAAGTCTATTAAAATCAGTGCCTGCTCTGTTTACTGATTAATGGAAGATCTGACTGGGCACTTAATCCTTGTCTTACACAAAAGATTTCAAAATATGGACACATTTTTTAAAAAAATGGATCAGTACTTGGGAGGAGAAAGAGGAAGAACACACTGTTTTGATAGGCCACCTTTCCATCTTTCCTAGGTTTGATACTTCAATCATTATTGCTGCCTTGATTGCAACAGTATTGAACACTGCACTTAAATCAGGTATTTTACATATATATGACTTTGTACTTCTTGTATGGAAAAATTAAAGTAATGCACTTTCCCCATTTTTAGTAGAGATCTGTTGAGATTTTTAGTCAAATAAGAGACAGATGAGAAAAACAGTGCAACTCCAAAACTGCAGATTTTGGGGGAAGCTCACATGAGTTACATTCAGTCACAATACTGAATCAGGTTCCAGTATTACAAGAACAAATATAGTTTCCACTGTCCATACCTTGGATGTTGTTCTCTTTCTCCCTGTTCAGGCCCTTCCTGGAGCAAACATGAGGAGGAATTTGGAAACTCTCTGTTTTCTGGCAAATTTCTCCTCATGTTTGCTCTAGTTTCATGTTTTGTCTGAGCTTTAGTCTTTACCATTAACTACCATTAGCTTGTTTCACTAAATTAAACTTGAGATAAATCACAGGTGATTGATTTCAGACAACACTGAAGCTGTAGTTAAAAAATATTAGTTCAAGCTACTCACAGCTGAAGAGCAAGGATAGGGACATGCTGTGTCTCATTCTTGTGGCATTGAACTGTGATGTAATTGTTGCATCTAAACTGAGTTTAGGCCAAGTGCCCAGTTCCATAAACTAGTTTAACAGGGTAATATAGTTCAACTTCTTAGGATGGTTTTCTGCCAGTCAATTTAAGCAGAGTATCCAGAAATGAACTGCGTGGATATTTAACTATGGCCTCAAGTTCAGGCATAGAAATACAAGTAACATGTCAAAATCAGTGGCTCATTCAGGAAAATACAGACATTTTAATGGAAGATGAAGTGCTGTTGATCTGTGTGAAGTAGATAGCTAAAGCTAATGGCGAGGATAAGAGCGCAGTTTTTTATTACTGTTTAAACTAATTGGCACATTTCTTTTTTCCCTAGTAACTGCATACAATAGCCAGCAAATACTGGACATTGTGTTTATCCTACGAGTTCTTAGGCTCATAAGAATTATTGACAGCATCCAAAGGTAAAATGCTTTTTAGAAGAACTCAGTCCTGTATAATTGCAGATTGGAACAGGTAGGGTCCAGTTGAATATGAATAATCTGATATAGCCTTCTCCATCCTGATTATTTACAGATGTGTTGGACTGTGACTCTTAGCCATCAATAAGCATTATGGCTGGGGATAAGAGAGTTGCAGTCTAATACAACTATATAATATGAGGCCAGAGAAGGATGATTTAGTAAGTGACTCGTTGTTAGAACACAGTTGAATGATGAAGGGCAGCAGATGGCTAAATCTGTAGTAAAGGAATGAAAGCACCTATGTGGATAAAGTGGTTGAAAAACCAATGCCCTCTGCTGAGTGAAAGTTCCTTCTTTTTCACTGAATTGGTTAATAGTGGCTAAAAAAAATCTTACCCTTTCTTCCATGGTGTTTTTATGCAGTATTTCCTTCCAGGTTCCGTGTCATTATGAATACACTAATAAACATTGTACCTACAATGCTAACCTTTGGAGCATTAGTTCTGGTAAGCAGCACATAATTTTGAACTTTACCTTGCTTCTTCCATATAAATAAAGGCATTGTGAATTGAGAAGGAACCTTAGTTTAGTGGCAGAGTTCATGCAATCCATGCAGAATGTTCTAGGTTCAATCCCCAACATTTCCCATTTAAAGAAGGATCTGCAGCAAATTATGGCGAAAGATCTTTTTCTTCCTACGTAGCAGTCACCAGTCAAAGTACTTGATTAGACAAGGAAATATTCTCAGTAATAGGCAACTTCTGTGTATCTTTGTTACTTGATTATATCAAATGTCAGATGAACTGTGACAAGTGTTGGCTTATATCTGCTTGAGTCAACCATAGTTCAATCTGCAGCATGACTCATTTTTAATAATACTGGCTCATGTCCTGTAGACTAAAGGTCAGTTTTTTTAAATTGTTATATATTGTCCTTGTAGCTCTTCAGGATCCTTTAGTCAGATGCTGTTCTTGGCTCTGTTCAAAGATATGGAGATTAAACCTAATGTTTCCTGCATGCCAGTAGCTTGCTCTGCCATGGAGGCATGACTCCTTTTGAATATCCTCATGATTATGTTTGATTTACAGGAAATTGAGCTGAACAAGATTCTTTTTAGTAGTATTGATGGGGAAGAAAAGATGCTCCACTTTTGAGCTGAAGTTGAAACAGTATTTATACTTACCTAGGAGTGCTTGATCACAGAGAGACTGATTGCTGAGTAATGTGCATAGGATCATGCTGGAAGAGTAGTTCCCCTTTTAAGCTAAAGTCAGTTCTTTTAGTTCCATCTTAACATGCCAGAAGAAACATTATGAAGGCTCTTGTACTAAACTTGGGAGTAACTTCATAATTATGGCTGAAAATCATACTTTGTTTACCATGTGTGTAAGAACTTCATCTGAAAAACACTTTTGAGACCTAATGGAAGAAGAGCTATATTAAACTGAGTTTGCAGTCATCATAACCATGGTTTGTTTAACTGTAGCTTGCTGAATAAAACAATTGGTTGGTTTCATAAAGCATACTAAGCCATAATTTAAGCCATTATTGACAAACCTTAATGACTGGGTCACACAACATGCTAAGCCAAAACCAAACTCACTAAATTGTGTTGTGCAGTGTTGTGTGAAATCAGACTTAGTTTAATCCCCATATTAAGTGACATCTCTATGTCCCACTAAAATTTGCTCTGGAGGATTCTTAGATCTACCAGAACAGTGGAAGTTGTGGTGCTAGAATCAGAGAGGGTGCACTCAGCATAAGATCACAGCCTTAACACACACACACACACACACACACACACACATACGTGCGCGCAAGCTGAAGGTCCTGCAAGGAGATAAGAGAGAGGATCCAATCATGCATATTCTAACAAATTTCTTGAAGAAACCTATCCATAGTAAGTGGAGTGAATGACATCTTCATTGGAAAACTAAATGTGGTTTCAGGCTGTTTTGTTTGGAAGTCTGCCCATTTACCCAAGGAAAAAATAAAGACAAGCAGAAATGCAGGGCGCATTCTGATGGGGAGGTTAGAAGGGGTGATTGGGGACATTCTAATATATTAGTCTCTGTGACTATTCATAATCAAGTTCTGGATGTGAATTCTTGTTTTGCAAGAGTGCCCATGACATGCGCTCTCAAAGTCCAGATGTGTCCCCACCCCAAAAATGTCAGTGACAATGATAAAGAGCAATGATCAAATACCTTTCCTGCTCAGTACATTTTGCCTTTAATGTCAACTTATAAGCTAGTATATAATACAAACATGTAGGTGTCCTCTTTTCCATTAGGTGGTATATTACGTGTTTTCCATAATTGGGATGGAAATCTTCCATGGGAAAGTCCAATTCTTTGCTGGGAACATCTCTTCACCACAAGCCATGTACTGTGGAAATCCTGCTTTGAATGGAACTACATTCGCACGAGCCAAATATTGCAGAAATAATTTCAATGACATTGTGTCTTCTTTTGTTGTCCTTATGGAATTAACTATTGTCAACCAATGGCATGATATCCTTTATAGGCAGTCATTGCAAAACATAGCTAGAATGTTTGGCAAAAAGGATATATATCTGTACATGTAGGTATGTGTGTGTCTTTTCTTTTGAGCTCTCCCTGGTATTCCCAGCTTTTTATTATAAGGCAGCTTTTGAAGATACTAGGCTCCAGCAGAAGCTTGTGATAAAGCTCAGAGGGCTGCTTTCACAGAAAGAGTTTGAAAGTTGTTGTTAGAGAAGAGGATAATGAAAGGCATTCAGAATCATTGTTTGATCATCGCTTATCCTGTGAGAATGTAGTTTCTCTAGAAGTAGGCTTTTGATCAAAAGAAGCCTTGATAGATTTATAAAACTATGAAATGTACATAGTGGCTACTTGTGTTATTGTCCTTAATATTGTACTCCTTGCTAATGGATTTGCCCTTGTGACTCATGAGATTGCGAAGCTGTTTTTCATCATCTTTCACATCGTTGTGGTTATTATGATTATTAAGTAAGTCTACCTCTCTCTTCATAGTCATAAAGCTTGATCTTTGCGTGTGTATTTTTCAGAAATTTTAAATTGTATTTCTTTATTGAATGTATAGACCACCCAAATTTGTCACAACTATATGTTACGTACTTACAGGGAAGCCACCTGCATTCTTCTAAAAACAAGCTATTGTTTCCCTGGAGAGATTCTTGTCCATTTTCACAGTGTGCCTTCAAGTATTGAAGCTCTGGGTCTATGTTTATAGCTACCTGGAAGTAAATATGTTATCTGGTTAACTAACAAGCAGAGGTAGGAAGTGTGGTCATGAGAGCATTAGTTAGTAGAATGGTATTTGGAGAAAAGAAGCCAATGTATTTGGGAAGGCACAGAATCTTGATCTAAGTTTCTACCTCCCAAATTCAAATACAGCCATAGGTAAATGTTGCATTGTCTGTTATAGCCATCAACAAATTTCCTTCCATATTAGGTCATGACCTTTGATACAAAAAATTTCTTCCAAAACTCTGTTCGATTAGAGGAATGGAGGAAACAATATTCTTTTTATGATGCACCATTGATGTTAGTACTCAGGAGAGTTATTCCTATCCATTCCTATCTGCCAGTTTTCTGGTTGCCAAAAAAGAATAAACCTGTATGTAAATTTTGCACTTTGACCCAGTCACATAATTTTTTATTTTCCATATTTTGACTGTGCCTTCTTGTAAAGAATTGAGAAGTTATATGGAGGTTGTTATACAGTGACTAATTCTATAAAAGAAAACCTGACTAAATGTAGGGAAGCTTGCTTCTGAGTAGGCATAGATAAGGCTTTGCAACCCTAGTCTCCCATTCTCATCCACTTTGAGGGCTGGCCAGATTTTAGCAGGCCATGCTAATCCTGATATTAATTATTTATTAAACTTGTATGCTGCCCGTCTCTCAATGACTCTGAGCAGCTCAACAACTTCAACAGGCAATGCCTTTCAGGATCTCTGACAGAAAAGAACCATCACTTGTTCCTGCTCCTTTTGAGTAAGGATGCTGGAGACTAAATCTCACATTATTTTTATGCAAAGTGTGTGCTTTCCTATTGAGGAATCAAGGAATTTATTTGCAAAAAAAATTATCCCTGGCAACTGTAATTACATGATGGCACAAACAATAGCACCCGTCAGACAATGCCGGCGTAGATAGACTAATGGTATAAAACAGTACCTATGTATCTAACTGTTAACATTGTTTTTATTTAAGCTGAAAATTTAGCTCTGTTATTCAGAAAAAGCACCATCAGTTTCTGTTCAGTTAAATCTGCTTGTGAAGTAGTAGCAAACATGTGGCCTGTTCTAGATAAAGGAGCTAAATTTTGACTTATAATACTGATGGATTAATATGAATAAGAGTAGGCTTGGATATCAAGAAATATCCAAGCCTTCCTCAGCCTAATAGCTCCATATGTTCTGGAGCCTGTGGCCATATAAGCTGGAAAACAGCAGGTTGGAGAATCCTGCATTTTTGTCCAGTGATCATTCATTTCCATGCTAACTGCCTCATAAAGAAATTATATCAAACTAGGGAGATATTGATTCATGATATCTGAAATGCAGAGTGCCATGTGACATGTTTGATTTCCAGCATCTTTGTAGCATTCATTTTGGAAGCTTTCTTTGTGGAGTATTCTCTTGAGAAGAGTGAAGTTGAAACTGCAATTGAGAAGAAGATCCAAGAACTTGGTATAGGGGTACAAGAGTAAGTAAATCAAAAATACTTTTCCCCCCATCCTGTTGCCCAAAGCAGATGATTTATGAAGAAGCCTTGGTAGAATTTTTGCAATCTGTAAATGTTTACTGTGGGCCCAGCCACTTGTCCCATCTCATTATCAAAAATGTTCTCATTAACGCTCTGCGGTATTTAAAACAATGCTTTTTTTTATTGTTATGGCTGCTGTTTCATAAGAGGAGTTTATTGGTTCAAACTAAGGCTTTTCTAATCTAGCATTCTATTCCCACAACGGGCAGCTAGTTTACTAAAAGATGTTCACTAGCTCGACATCAGTACAATTACCCTGCACTAATCTTAAAGACCAAGCATGCTGCAAAATATAGGACTACCAGATCCTGGCTGCAAACATTACAAATGACCACTAGATGGCAACAGAAGACACTGCAATTCTTGCTGTTTGCTGCCACTTAAGGGTTTCCTTGAATTTTAGCAGCCAAGAACTGATAGCCTTAGCAAAATGGCTGGTGGAGGCCGTGGAGGCTAAATTACATTACGAAAGTCTTTGGGTTTGGAAAATCTCTTATCTGCCTGTGGCATGGAACTGGCTTCAGGTAGAGTAGCAGTTTCCCTGCAGGGCCAGGTATGCTGCTTGAGTATATAGTGCTGGATATAGTGCTTTCTATAAAAATACAGATGTCAGCCGATAGTCCTAAGCCTTGTTTTTTTAAAAACCAGGTAGTTTACCAGCTAAGGCCTGACCTAGAAACAGCAGTCTCCCAACAAATAACATACTTTACTTTGGATTATTCTATACTAATCAGGATTATCAACTCTATCTGGGTGGTTTTTTAGACTATCTAGGAAGCTAAGTTGGTACAGAATATGGCAGCAAAATTCTTTGTAAGCTCTGTGTGTTCATTTCTTGTTAAATGACCTTGGTTCACACATACTAAACCATAGTCTGCTTGGCTACTGTTTTATGGAATAAACCTCAACTTCTTGTATTCATAACATGCTTATAGTCATAAGCTATATAAGTTTATTTTTAAAATGGCTGGGTTTATGTAATGTACTTAGCCAAACCCAAACAAACAATATTATGGTTTACTGCATTTTGTGAGTACAGCCTTATTTTAAATGGCCCTTGGCATAAGACTTTAGTAGAAGCCATGATGATGTCACATACATGAC